ATTTTCTTTAACTTTCACATTTTTATTTTTTACTTAATGACAACTCGATTTGCCTTCAATTAGTGAAATTCTAAGGTTAGAGTCGAATACAATAGTGAAGTAAACAGAGAATTGCCACTAGTTATTCTATTACTGTATGTAATAAACAATGGAGCACAAATACATACCTATATTTTCTTAATTAATCTATCTCTCTTTGTACATATATACTCATTTTTACTTGTCACTTATTTCTAAAATAGATTTTACATTTTCACTTGTCACTTTTGACATATCAAAGAAAAGATAAATATATTTTTTCATGTTTTACCTTAGTATTAAATACTCTTTCTCCAAATCATTTTCCAAGATTTAATACTAAAAATTATTTAATAGCGATAGTTTGATGAAATATCTATATCAATAATTATTTTCGTAATGGATATGTCAAGTCACACAGTGACAAATAGAGTATATTCCAATTCTAGGCAAAGGAACAAGTTAAAATTGGTGTGAAGTGTTTGAGGAAACTATCAGTATATAATTACTCCATTAAGAAAGAATATTGGTTACAAGGTACATGAGTACAAATGGACCGTATAACTAACGATACCTACCAATACCATAAACAAGACAAAGCTTGGGGGGAAGTAATTTAGGGAAAATTGTCTTAATTTTAGGTAGCATTCACTTTGTAGACATCACTAATTATGTGTACTTAGACAAGTTTGAGATTGATGGGGTACACGCATACCTAGGGATTGGTTTGACGGTAATTAGCCCCAATTTACTTCATCATTAATTAAACAAAGAATGTTAATATTATAGATTAATTGGAATGAGTAATAAAGAAGCAAGTAAATATTGTCGTAGATAACAATAATAAATTGCTACCAGTGAAACTTTGGCATATGGTAAAAAACACTAAAACCTATAAGCTAAGGTGCCACATTCATGGAATTATATCTCTCCTCCTTATTTCACCGTCAAATAAAAATTAATACTCAAACAAATTTACAAGTAATTAATTAGATGTACTGTCAAAAGTTACAGTAAAATAGTATATACTCTTTCATTTAATTACATCACTAACCAATGCGGGACATCAAACATATCCCCTCACGTTCAAACCTAATAATTAGAGTGTGAACAATATATAATGGGTTTAATTATAATATGAAAATGGATATAGAAGAATCTAATTCAACTACGAATCTCACTAGTTCTACTTTTTGAAAAGAGTTTTTGTTGTGCTACTTCTGACAGTCTTTCTGAAATTTCTGACTCCGCAATTGGTTGTTGATAATCTCAAAATGCGATTTCTTAATATGAATTCGAATTGATCAAACTCGAAAGTGATTATTGAAAGGAAAAAAAATATGATTAAGGTGATATTTTAGGGGAGAAAAAACAAGTGGCCTTGCGTGAAATGGAAACTAACAAAAGGAGGAGCCGAAAATAAGTAGTGGAAACGTTGGAGTCGTGATATTATAATGTGTTTTCATGGAAAAGTTGTGTTTGTTAAGGCAAGCCTACCCTGCTTAATTTGTGTATCATCCTTTTCCAAGCAAAGTTTCCGTGATACATATTCTCCTTTCCTCCTACGTCTTTACTCGTTCAATATTCTAAAAGTTGTGTAACACCAACAAAAAGCATAATCATATTTATGGAATATTCTTATCTGTCATTAAATTTTGTGGAATTCTATCTTGAAGAAATATTTTTAAATTAAATATATTTTAAAATATATATTTATAAAAAGATCAAGACATCAAATATCAAAGAGAAGAGTAAGTGGAAGCAGGGGCGTATGCAGGATGGAGTCATCGGGTTCACGTGAACCCATGCTCCTCTCCCGAATATATATATATATATATATATATATATATTTCAATTATAAAAATTGAAAATTAACTATATGTGAATTTTACCCAAATTGCTCAGTAATGAGCCCATGAGGTCACCATCAATGGTCCTACCTGTTTTATGCCCTAATATTGTTTATATTGCTTCTCCTATACAGTGCTGCTATTGGTACATTCTACATCCAACATATTTACCGGTTATTGACACTTATCTTCCTATTTGTGGTGGTCTTTAATTTATGTCTTTTACTCATAATAATAATTTTAAAAAAATAAAAATCATGGTATATAATTACATATTTTTATATCATAATATTTTAAAGTTATGCTAGCCTGATATCTATTTCTAAAATAAATAAATTATGTTGGACTAGACATAAGTTCAATGTTGAAGGATATGGATTAAAATCAGACCATTTTAAGGGCAATTTGTGCAATTTCAGCCATACTTACTTTCTCCACTTTAAATAAACAGTATTTGTTTTATTTCCCTTGAAAACATTAGTAACGTAAAAGACCTTATATTTATTTTTAAAAAAAGGAGTAAAAATAATGAGGTTATTTAACAGCCAACACAATTTGAAAAGAGTTTGACTTCTTTATATTAACAGGCTGAGCGAAATTAATGCCGCAAAGGTTTATTTGAATTACTTTCGCAATAAAATAAATATTTATAAATAGATGTTGAATCACTTAGCTTTTTCATTAATTCATTTTTAAATATATTGAGAGAAAATCTGATTCCGCTAATAGTTATCTGGAAATGAAGGAGATTACGTACAAAAACATGTTTAAGTATACTAATATGAGCATTTATTATTTTAAAATCCTCTACGTGATTATGTCCCTAATAAGGAGGAAACCCGTTAGTTTTAGAGTTAATGGTTTTGTTCAATTTGGTATTGACAGTGATACCCAAATTCTTTATCATGCCTAATGTTTGGCGGCCATGGGGTCATCCTTACTTCCTAATCTTCCTACTTAATCTCATTTTGTCAGATTCTTCATAGTAATCACGTTTAAATGCTTCACATATTGACACATTTACAAAATTGTTTTGCTCCTTATGTTGACAATTAACTTGTTTAATTTTTCTTTATTACATCAACAAAGAAAAAAGGGATGCTATAATATTGATGAAATTCTCCATGTTAATTTAATATTACCCTTCTTCCATAAAACCTATATATAATCATGAGCAGTGACATTAGTAGTAGTACAACTTGTTGTCTGCTGCGACAAAGCTAGAGTTTTAATTATGATTCAACAAAACTAAGTAATTTTCGTCAAAATTCTATATTTGAATTAAGCAATTCACTCATATTATATGTATATACTTTCTCCGCTTCAAAAAGAATTGTCTAGTTTTCTTTTTAGTCTGTTTCAAAAAGAATGACCCATTTCCTTTTTTGGCAACACTTTAACTTCAACTTTTCACGTGACATATTTAAAGCCACAAGATTAAAGGGCATTTTGTTACATTTGACATAACTTTAATTTAGAATCACAAGATTAAAAAGTCTTCTTTCATTTCTTAAACAGTTAAACTCCATTCCAAATCAAACTAGACCATTCTTTTTTAAACGGAGAGAGTATAATTTATTCAGAACCTAATGAGATAACTTTTCTTGATATCAGAACCCAAAAAACTTATAATTCTGAATCCGCCCCCATATATAACTATATATCCATCAAACAAAGTACAAATCTTGGAAGTTCAGTGGATCACATGCGAGTCACATGATCCCTTTAAAACAGTTATGAAAGGAGTGAAGGAAGGTGTGGTGTGAGTGCGAAGTAGGTCGTCCACATATATAGTATGGTATTTCGTACTTAATTAGTACTAAAACAATAAAACACAATCTTGAGGTGTTTAATTCATCAGATATTCATGTTCATAAAACAAAGGATATTTTAGTAATATTTTAATCTTAACTTGTCATATAATATTCTTCTTTTTAATTCTTTTGTACTTATATATTTGGGCAAAAGTTTGAGAGTCCTTGGATCATTAATTGGAAAACATGCTATGTCTGTTGTAAAGAAAGAAACACAATCACAGCCATGACATTCGTAATGATGTGGCACGCATGGCCTCTAATTTTCTCAATTGCATAGTATAATCTCTTCCACTTTTCGTTTTTTTTTAAATTTTTAACAGCGAACCAGAATTTCTACTAACAGATTCAAAACACAAAATAAATCAAAGAAGTCAATATCATCTACTATATGTATATATATAAAAAAATATTTTAACCTTACATATACGACATAATTTCAGGCGCTCACATGCTCCGCCCCTTTTCTTTCTCCATTCTTGGAGGGGCAAATTTTAAACATTGGGTTGATTTGACTGAAATTAGCACCAAATGTGGATCACTGTATGAACGTCACGACTTTATAATTTCCTTAGTACAACAGTAGTCACCCAATTACTGCCATGACATCCGTGAATCAAAGTCTATTTAACTTTTTGGGTGAAAATAAAGTAATTTTTATTTATCTTTTTCTTGGTAGTTAGATATATGTGTGGTGACTTTTAAATAGGAAATCAATGTCTCAAATGAATACTACTTTTAGCGGTTGAAGTCGAAAGTGACTTTTAACTGTTGATGTGCCTTTAGAATTTATGACACTTGGTAAAATTAAAGTTATTATTCATCTTTCTTGGTAGTTATATATATGTGTTGACTGTTGAGTATGCTAGTTATACAATAGGAGATCTATGTCTTAATGTACGTAACAGCATTTGTACTATTAGCGGTTGAACTCAAAAAGGGACTTTAATTGTGACAATCTTACATTAAAATGGATGGGAAATTGATACCCATAGAAGGGCGGCCGGTTCATGAATTTAATTGTTGATGCGTCTTTTTTTTACTTTAAAAGGCTTAAGGGGTCAAATCTATATGATCCTGAATGTTAGATCAGAGCGACTAATACATTGATAGTTGATCCAACTTTCTCTATCATAAATATATATTTGATTCGAACTATATTCTATTAGAAGTTTTTAGTTACTAGTGAGCAATATATACTTATACTAAATTCGTTTTCATTATGGCAACAAAAGATAAGTAATGATTAAATAAAATGATAGTCTATAGCTTGTAAGCTAAAATCGTAGATTTTTATTATTATTATTAATATGAATGAAGTTTAATAAGAGTGAGTTTGGTGGAAGAGTGGAGATGTGTGGAAATGATCACATGATATTGTATATGGAGACATGCACATGAAAGGCCCACCTTGTTAGTACAATAACAAACACATTTCTTTAAGCCCACTTGAGATCAAACCCCATTTGGAAACAAACAAACACAAAAATTTTACACTTAGTTATGGCCTCCCCACCCCCCAAACATGACTAAGTAGTAGTGAGTTACCATTACCTCTTGGCTCTTAACAAAAAAAAAAGAAGGTTTTACTGTGTGTTTCTTCAATGCAATTAATTGTCTTCTTCAATCCAACATCACTATCTATGTTTTCTCTCTCTTTCTTTTGTGGTTCTTCCCCTTCTTTAAAGCTAGTTCGTTATCTCTTCTCTTCTTACTCTCTCTTTTTCTAACTACCTTACCACAACTTCCTCTCCTTAACAAGTTTCATACACACACACAAAAAAAAATATCTTCTTTCTTTTCCTTATCCATATGTGTTGTGTAAGCAATTAAATAAAAGAAAACTACGCTAGCACAGAGCCATATTTGTAACGAAAAGAGAGACATTTTTTTGTTGAATTTAAGGATGTCGAGCAGAAGGTCGAGGCAATCATCAACAGGATCCTCGAGGATTTCAGATGATCAGATAATTGAACTTGTCTCAAAATTGCAACAGCTTCTACCGGAGATTCGCAATCGTCGCTCTAGCAAGGTTTTTAAATTACTACTCTTCTTTTTATGCATGTTCATAATATATGGATAATATACATGCAGCTGCATTTCAATTTTTTGATTTATTTTCACTACATTCAAATTAAGTTGAAAATTAATAGTGTAACAGTATAACTTGAAAACTACTAGTGTAACAGTATAACCAGGCAAAGTCACGTTATGTGTGTGGAGCTCTACGCATCTCTTGTCTGTGTTAGTCGCATTAATTGTAGTATTACTCATGAAGGAACATATTTCGCCTGTTATATTCAAGCATTTATTTTATGTTTCTTTTTGGACTCTAAGGTCCATTTCACATATATCCTAATTTGTCTTCCCATAGAAAAAAATATTCTTTTCTACTAAGAAAGGATATGTATAGCAAACACTTTTTACATATCAGTAAATTTTAATTTTATGGAGTTATATCTATTTAAAAACTTAATATCAACCATGCACAATTAACTTGAGGATAGGAAATAAGAAAGGTCTCTAGCTCTTTATCACACAATCTTAATTTTCTTGGAAAAGATATAAGTTTAATTTGGCGTACCAAAGGAGAATATTACTTATGATTTGAATAATTTGTTGTGACCATGCCTAGGACCATGCTTTGGGGTCCCAACTCCCAAAAAATATAGTGCCAAATTGGGATTTTGTAGGTCAATGACTTGAACATAGTCAAAGATTTGCAATGCATCATTGCACAAATTAAGGCATGTCTACTACTAGTCTAAATAAATTATCACGTAACACAACATGTTGACTCTAGAATTTAGGAGTAAAAAGTGTTGGTGCTTTAATTTAGGAGTTGATTAATCAATATAAAAAAGATTGTTGATCACAAAACATCTCGTATTAGCAATTTTAGGGAGGAGTGCATTCAAATAGTGTGATGGACAAGTCTATTCTAATAAAAAGTGATAGTGCTTTAATTAAGGAGTTGATTAGTTGATAAATAAAAGGGCAGTTTGGTACACAAAATATCTTGTGTTAGTAGAATCCGAGAAATGACCGCACCACAAAGAGTGTGATGTATCTAGATAGTCTACTCTTATACAGGTACCAGTGCTTGTTTTCATGACTCGAACATATGACCTATAAGTCATACAAAATTAAATCAATTTTATTGCTGCTCTCGGCTCCCCTTTCGAGATGATTAATTAATAATTTGTAATCTCATATATTTTGTTCATACAAATGCAGGCATCGGCATCGAAAGTACTGCAAGAAACATGCAACTACATAAGAAATTTGAATAGACAAGTGGATGATCTTAGTGATCGACTTTCTCAGTTACTCTCAACTATTGATGCTGATAGTCCAGAAGCAGCAATCATCAGGAGTTTATTAATGTAGTAGCCATATACTCCTATGAATTAATTAATGTATTTTCATTTCTAAATATTGGAGCTATATTTATATATAAATCTTACTACCAAGTTCTTGATTTTCTGGTTGTTGTTAAGCTCTAGTAGACTCAGCTGGTCACTATAGCTAGGCCAATCATGAGTTAGAATTTAATTAGAACTCAACTATATAGTAGTGCCGATTGAACCAATGTGATCCCCCTAGCTAAGGGCACACGTACGTACGTTTGTATTTATATTTCCTTTACTCCTTAGTTATATATAATTAATTAATAAGATGTACTTTTGTGCTTTTATTAGTACTTAGATATTTTATTTAATCCACGTTGAAGCAAGAAACTAATAACATGAGTGAGATTAAAAAAATTATTGCCTAAGGACCAGCTAGGAGCACCTATTAATATGGTGATTAATTTAAACGATTATAAAAAGTCATATCTGAGAAAGCAAACATCTAATTAATTAGCAAAGAAAAAGACGAAAAAGAATAAGGTCGTGCTCATTTTTGGTTGTTGAATCGAGTAAGTTCAGGGTCAATGTTGGCCTGAAAGTTATCAATCACCTGAAACACCGCTCCGATGCAACAAAATAATGCTCTCTCCGTTTTAATTTTGGTTGTTTGATTTTGACTCGATAAGTTTAAGAAAATTTACAAGAATTTTAAATTTTATGATCTTAAATTAATTTAAGATATATATGTAGAATGTAGTAAAATGTCTTTTATTCTTATGGTCTTACATATTATGTGAAAAATTAGAATTAAAGAATTGTCAAAAATAGAAAGACATTTTTAAAAAAATAAATCTTTTGACAGTTTTAGATTGTGGTACTTTGTAATCAAGGGTAAAAACTTAGGGAAAGGTAGCACAAAAGAAAAATAAAAGTAAGACAAACAAATTGATACTAATGGTTAGAAAGTCAGAAAAAAAAAGTAATTTAATGCCAAAAAAATCGATTCTGATAAAATCGCACTTAAAAAGTATGATATAATAATATATCCATTAACCAACATTAATATTTGTTTTCACGGCTCAAATTCGTAACTTATAATCACACCACGATAGCATTACTATTGCTTGAAAGTTCTCTTTAATATTATAAAGAATGCGGGTAAACAAAGAAAGGAATCAACGGACAAGTGAATTGTAGTCTATCGGGTGGCATTCATTACCTCTGACAATAAATAGTAAAACCTGATTATAATATTGCTATCATTTGTTGGTTATCAATTTATATTAAGAAATAAAAAAGAGTTTCAAAATTTATAATCTTAAATATATTTGAATGAATATAAGATTTTTGAGCATCTAAAACAAAATCTTAAAGCTATGGTGGGGAGTAGTCCGGGACCATTTAAATCTCTTGGAAAAACTTCATACAATCTGCTGAGGGACAAATGTTTCAACATCCTCACGTATGTACGTGTCGATCTTTTATTTTATTTTATTTTATCTTAGAAAACCGAATAGTGAGACTAGATATAAATGAAACTATATATTTATCTTCTGAATATGCATATAATATTAGTAATTCAATTTTAACGCCGTTTAAAGAATTTCGACAAAGGTTCAAAATAACATATGATTGAATGAGCACTAATTAAAAAAATAATAATACAAAAATGTAGAATAATGCAAAATGAAAGAGAAAAGAACACAAGAAATTTAAGAAGGCTCAATGGAGCGGGCGAAAAAGTAGAAAAAAATGCTTAATGCAGCCTGATAAGGCAAGTTAAATTTAATGGACTAGGATTAATCTTTTCCTTCTCAGCCCTCGCTCCGTTTTTTTCATTAAGTATTTTTACATGTTTGTTTCTTTATACTTTGAACCCCTTGAGAGAGATTCTGACTCTGTCACTTATGTGAGGTTGTATGATACTTTCTCAACGGAGAAATTGAAGGTGGTGAGTGATGAATTTTTGCAGCGGTGGTATTTGTATGGTGGCTAACGAATGGAATAGTGATTATGTTGATGTTGAAGGAGAGACATAAGAGTAAACTTCGCCGGTGATGGCAATGTTAATTTTGTGATTTCTTGGTATAATTTATTTTGCCCGAGGAAACTTTTCGTAAATCAGAAGATCAAATTTTAATTCATTTTCCATCGTAAAATTGGTCTAGAGATTAGTGTCAAAGTAATTGCGAGGCAAAATGATAATGGCACGGTGAGTGGTGACGATATAATAAATAAAGTCCAACAAAATTAAACTATTTTGCATAGTTCAAAAACTAATTTACCTAGCTTTATCATTTGATAATGATGACTCATTTTAAATCAATATAAAAGGAAACATGATGAAACGAAGGGTGTCATAAGATCACATCAATATACATAAAACATTGTAGGAGTATCAAGTATATATATATATATATATATATATATATATATCTATATGTATGATTGGAATTGGATAAGAGGTGTCAATTAATGGGTAAAGGATGAAGATAGCGATAATAATCTATTGAATCGACAAATTTGCAGTTTGCGCCCTCAACGAGAAGAGAAAAAGACATTTGCTCTGTGTTTGAGCAGGGGTGTGTCTATGTCTTAATCAAATATAAAATGCATGGATTCTGATAACGATGAGCCCAGCCATATTAATATTAATATTATAATATTATCATTGACGATGACTCTGATATTCATCAATAACTAATGGGCACCACACCAAATCATACTCACCTTTTTATTTTCAGATTTAGTACTATTGAAAACGAATTTATGGTGCAACATCAATATATATGTCTTTTCAATCATTTTAGTTTTTTTCCCTTCCCAATAATTGTTTTCTATGGTCTCTACTATTTAGGAATTTATTCTATTGGATCATGCTACTTTAAAAACATTTCACGTTAAATATGTTCTAATCTTTCCTTTTTTTCTGGAAGAACTACTGTTCTAATTTTGTCTTTGTTAATACCTTGTTCTTAACGTATTAGCATCAATACGAGCAGGGAAGAGTTGGCGTGTCTGTTGCGGATTCAGCGATCTTTAATTAATAATTTAGAATTCAACAACTTAAAAATATTAGAAAATTAGAACTAAAAAAATTATAATTTTCCGACTCCGATCGAGTAATAGATGTTTGAAATTTTGATCAAGCGATCCAACATAATTTTGACAAATTATCCCAAATTGCATCAGTGCCTGAATAATGGGCCGAAGGTGGTGTAGTTTTCTGTTAAGAAGAAGCCCGATATTAATATTTGGGCCTAGTTTCAACTTGTATAAAGCCCAATGAATGAATCAAATCGCGAAGGGCTTAACGGACCTGAACCAAATAGTTTCAGACTTTCAGCCCAAGTCTCCTTATTTTATTTTGGAAAAACTACCTAACCACACATACATCACTACCATATATACTATATTTACCTCTAGTTTAAAATAATTACACATATTACCACTTTTAATATTTATACCATATATTTTAAAATATTTATTGAGATACACAAATCCCTTAAATATGATATTGAATAATTATCTTAAATTTAAACTCCTTAATTAGAGCATGTTAAATTTTTTTATTCCCATTTGCCGCCGGTCGTTCCCCACCCCATGTCCAGCAGCCCACTTTCATTCTTCTTCTTTTCTACCTTTAATTTATTTCTTCATTCTCTCAATACATGTTTGCATGTTCAAATCAGTATTTTACATAAAAGTTTGTTTTTATTGTTTTATTATTCTCATGTATCTTGATTTTGTATCCGAGTTTAAATTCATAATGTTCTTAAGTTCAATTTCAAAAGTTTTACAAATTAGGTTTTATATTTTTTGATTTTGTTGTTTCTCAAACACTTTAATGGCCGGAGGATTCTTGTTAAAGGTACTACACATTAATAATATTATACTAAATCAGACAACTTTTATTTGTTTATTTTTACTCATTAATTTCTCATTGCAGGGACTGACTCTTCATCCATCAACATACAAGCCGAGAAAAGATTTAAGTATAGGAACAACCCAATCAAGATGGAAGAATTACATCAAGTTTTAAGTAACAGAACAAATACACCATTAGATATGCAACAATATTGAATACAAATCATGTGTACATGTATCTAGTTAACAGTTCATGTATCTTATCTATAAGAAACAAATTCAGATGCTAAAAAGGGAAGAATTTTGAAATTTTTTACTCTTTTTTTGGATTAATGATAAACATATACTCTACCATCATGATTTTTCCTAAATTCGTGTGTTTCAGTTACATTTCATATTTAGATACACATAATTATATGTATATGCTTATTATGTATCCGGAATACATGTTTTTGAATATAATATATGAAACTAATACTTGATACATCAAATTAATACTAAATACGTATAAAAGATACATGAAATTAAAATTAAATCATCTAAATAGATACATGAAATTAATACTAGATACATATAACAATTACATTAAATAAATCTAGATTCTTCTATGATACATATGGATGTACATGTATGATGCTCATGTATTCAAGTGTTTAGTTGGTTGGATACATCATATATTGATAATAGATACATCAAATTAATGAATTTATTATTTTAAGAGTAATAAAACTAAATTAATCAAATTAAATGACTAATATATACATGTTTTTTTTTATATTTTATTAATAATATTAATGAATTTATTATTTCAAAGAATAATAAAATAAAATAAATTAAACATACCTTGATTTCCGCTTTATATTAAGGGATTTGATTAATTTAAATTTTCAAAAATAATTGTTCATGTATTCTGAAAATCCTTAATTACTTCTATAATTAAGGGAAACAGTTACAACCAATTAATTTAAACAAATAAAATATGTATCTCAGTTTTAAAATTCGGCAGATACATGTATCTCACGGATTTCAACTCGTGTATCCTAAGCATGAAATATGGTAGAAGAATTAATATTTGAAACTATTGGGAATCAGCTAGTGGGATTTATGTAGTTTGCCCTTTTATTTTTTTGTTAATCGTCAAAAAAGTGTCTAATATGACAATTTATGAGTTCGATTGAAACAGTCTTATTCTAAAAATAAAATTTTGTCAATTTTAAAGTATGTGTAATTGTGTATATTATTCAGCCCTATACAAAAAGAG